GAAAACGGGCAAAATGAGGAAATCCAAGCTTTTCTGTGCTTTATACAATGTCTGACACACAGGGAGAAGCGCAGTTAGCCACACAGAGCTGGCCGCAGTGCCATAAAAGAGCGGCTGTGTTTAAACCTCAAGGAAAATTGCTGTACTCCAGAACCGAATCCTCTCCAAACCATCCCTGCCTGTTGGGTCYGTTGTCACYGGGAAYGCGYTGGGAATGATTTTGACGCTGTCAGKTCTGAGCATAAGCAGGAATACGCCACAGTGAGTGGATCTGGATTTCCCCAGGGCTGCGTTTGTCCCGGTGAGGTGCTGCACACCTSTGTGTGCGCATTTCAGCGGGGTTTYAATTCCCTTTTCTCCATCTCCGCCCGGAACGCAGCGGCTCCGGGGAACGGGACCGGTCCCGTTTGTCTGCGGATGAATTTSAGCTCGCTGGCGGCGTTGCTGTGATGGATCTGTGTAATCGGTGTTTGCAAGTTCTGAGAGCAGATGAAGGATGCGATAAGCGCGGCTCCCCTGGGGATGCCGGGCTGTCCCCGATCCTTCGGGCCGTGTCCTCTGCCGACACTCGGTGCAGAAAGCAGAGAAAACCCTTGTTCCTGCTTCTGATTTCCAGCTCTTCTCTTGTAAAACCCATCAGCAGCTGCGGCTGGCTGGAGATTGGCACAGCAAAGATAAGGAAATGATCCTTATTCAGCTGGAGCAATTTCCCAGCTTGGTCAACCACTGAACTGCACGGGCACAGGAGGAATAAAAAAAAAAAAAACAGGATGGAGAAGGGGATGTGACTGTGAGCTCTGGGCCAAGTGCCTTTCACCAAGCTGGTGCTGAACAAATCTTGTTCTGAGATAGAATTTATGCTAAAAAAAAATGGGGTTGTCCTCCCTGGAAATATAAAATCCGTGTTCAGCTGTTTCTACAATGGGAAAGTAATCTAGTTTAGAAAGAATTATTTTTGTTTTGAACTCTCCTGAGGGCARTTGAGCCCAGACCTCCACCTCACGGGGCTGGGGGATGTGACTACTTAGGCTGCAGGGCCGAGCCCTCTCACACCACAGGAGCCTGGAAAACCTGGGAGGAGAATTAATTAACSATCCAGCACAGAGGAATGATCCTGGTGCTGGAAAAAGAAAGCCGCTAAATAAAGGGAGCTGGTCAAGAGGAATGAGGGAATTAGGCTYGTCAGCAGAGCAGAGCAGARCAGGCAGCTCTGCCGYGGARARGCACCGGACCACGAGGGGCACAGGGCAGAAAGAGTTTCCCCAAGGTCCTGGTGGAGAGAAATTGAGTTTGATGGAGGGGTTCCAGCATTTGAGACATGTCCCCAATGTTGTGCTGGGTGCCAGGGATGGCAGGATGCAGTGACATTGAGGTATGGCCTTGTCACAGGTGAATCACKGAATGGYTTGSGTTGGAAAGGACCTTAAAGGTCATTTTGTTCCAACCCCTTGCCATGGGCAGGGAYAGCTTCCACGAAACTGCAGTGAAAAAAACCAAATGATGTTCTGAAACAATTGTACAAACCTCTAAAAAGGAGAAAAGTGAAGTACAATTAAGCAATTGGGTGGAGTTTTAGATGTAGAACAAYAATTTCGCTTTAGCTAAAGTGCTATAATGGAGCAGAAAGTCTGGAAGRTAATTTTTTCATGACTGTCAAGGCATGGGGAAAAACCCAGGTTCTTTTTTTTTTTCCTTGGTTACAGGTGTGAATTTTCAAATTCAGCTCAGACAGTGGGGTACAAAGATTACATTAAGATTTAAAACCAGCTACATACTTGCAGGCATCATCAGGCCCCTTTGGAAAGCCTTGCTGGCTGCAGAATGTGTGCRTTGTGTCTGTAAGAATTTGGAATTTGGGACATTCAGCAGAACACGGGAGGTCTCAGGTTCTGGGAAAGTCCTTTTCAGATCACTGTTTGCTTGTGATACCCAAGAGTGAGACGAGAGTGGT